ACAACACTAAATTTTAAATCAATATTCTTACATGCATGATGACTTATATCAACAGAAATAGAAATAAGAAAAGTTCTCCATAGTAAGTATATTAGAAAGAAAAATAAAGTGAATTTAAAAAAAAAAAAAGGAAAAACACCCCTTTTTTCAATGCACTCTAAATCTGCATCATTCTAGGAAGCAATATTCATGTACTGATTGTGTAATCTACAAACATCACACTATTGTAGAAATGAGAAAATTATGTTAATAAAAAGCTTGATGTGTCTAATGAACCAATTTATTATATTAAGAACTAAATTTGCACCTTGCAAGAAGAATAGATAACAGATGCAGCTGACTAACAGTAGCATTATAAATACTCTTATCCATACTAGATACAAACATTCCCCATAGTGTTTCCTATCTAAGATAATAATATGATCCTAAAAAACTAATCCTAGAAATAATATGTACAGTAGTAACTCATTTTGTGAATTTACCTTTGACCAGTAAGGTCAACTTCAAAGTAAGACTTGTCCATGTTTGCCCCATCAAAGAAAACAAGGATCAATCCGTCTAATAAGGTGTTGCCTACTCCAAAGTCATACAGTTCCAAAAATTCATGAGTGTCTGACAAATCATTATCAACATTGAGTTCATTTATGCTTACAGCTGTAAAAAAAATGGGAAGAAAAATCAGAATAGAAGGAGTCCAGGTTTATAACTTTTTCTTATATATTACTGTACAGTAAACCCTGAATATAAGCCTATGGCTTAAGCTCAAGAAGTGCAATGGGTTTAATCTTGAGAAGACCATCTCGAAATGAAGCCCCCTCTTTAGTTGGCAAAAATAAACTCAAAAAGATGTTAGATTTATAAGCTTTATCTATATATTTTTGAAGATGAAATATAATTAAACCATTCATTTTGGGTGGAAACAAAACCAAATAATATTTTTAGGGTAAGATGATGTCAAGTTTTGATAAAGCTATGTCCAAACTATCAGATTTTATGTGACCAAAAACATGTGACATGCCTATATATGGTCATGTTGATATCACATCATGACTATATATAGGCACATCATGACTATATATGGGCACAAAACAGTTTTTTGTCAAAGAAAACTTGTGTCTGGTCTGGGCTTAAGATAAAAATCTTTGGCAAAAAGGGATTGTAGATTTATAGTATAAAACACATGTTAAATAGTACTAACCTGGAAAATTATTTGTGGATGACTGACACTTATTTTCTCGGTTAGGTGTGGGTTTAGAAGAGACAAACGCGTTCTGGTGAAGTTTATTATTTCCATAGCAACGACTCATAGATTTGTTTCCCGCTTGGTCCAATAGCAGTATAGGTTGCCCTAGAAATTTAAATAAAGGAGATTAAGATTGACTAAATTATTGCACTATAACTCCTTACATATATAAAATTCATGTATAGATATGTAAATAAATATATCAATTATATACAAATATATACTGTACATAAATCAACTAT